GGGAGTTCTCGAGCACGGAGACTTTAAATCCATGCGGGATGTTGACCTTCACCAAACCAAAAACATCCACGCCACTGTGAGGCTTTGCTCAATGAGCATTTATTCACTCAGCACTTTTACACAACCTCCGCTCTCCCCAGATGTCCACCTCTAAAGGAAAGCGGAAATAAAACAGCATCACCAGCATCCATGCCTGAGAGTATTTCAACCACTACCGCCCTAATCAGCACATTTACTGCCACGAGGGACCAGGGGGAATATGCAATGTGAGCACAGAGAGCCGGATCAAGAGAATTCCCAGAGCTGGTGTATCATGGTATGTTTGACTGCTTCGTCCTCCCCTTCGTCACCAGCTCTTCCCCCTCCATCCCCCTTCCACACACCCTGGGGTAGCCTTTGTGTAGCCCCCCCACCGCCGCCCCCTCCTCCTCCTCGACACTCCTCACACACTCTCAATCCCTCGTGAACCATTCTCTTCCCCTCCTCCATGCCTTACAATTGCCCTGTTAATGCAACACAATGCGGCCTCCCCGTACCCACGGGCTTTTTCTGTGTGTCGGCCGGATTTCTTTAAGAAAAGCTCTGCACTGACCGGCCACAAAAAAAAAGGCAAGTCTTAAAAAAGAAATTGGGCCAAAACAAAAAAAAAAGGAGGGGGATGGGTAAAAGGATGAAGAGATTCCTTAAGCCCCTTTTCGCCTCCCCACACATACACAAACACACTGCCCACCTCTCTGCGCTTTTCCTTCTCACTCACATCTATATTAGTGGAGTCATGTGCAAACTAATCCACGGTGGAGCTAGATTAAATAAACATGCATAAACAATGTAAAATCCAATTGAGATTAGCATTATGAGTATTTGCATGTGCATTGCTGAGTCTGCAATTCTAACTCCCTGCATTTTTCATACCGCTAAGCAAATCTGCTGGGAGTCAAAGTGCAGCAATTAGGAACTACGACAGAAACCAGACAACACCTTCCATCCTATGAGGACATGTCATTTATCACGACCACGCCGTCTGGCCACAGGGAATGTTTGTCCTCCACGTCAGCGGTCGGAACAAGATGCATTTACTATAACGACGGACGCAGGAGTCTAATGTCCTGGACACGCCTGCTGCTTTCCAGTATCAGTCAGCTCCAGACGAAAAAGCTTATATGAAGTTACGTTCCGGAGTATTCTTAGTGCGAGTGGCTTAGCTCTGTCTGGGTGTACGTTTCTTTAGAGCTTAGACTGACAGAATATTTGACAGACAAAGTGAGACTTGCTAAATAAGTCATAACAACAATATCTGCAAGCAATGAGCATCTCTCCTCGGTTCCAATTGTCTGAAATGAAGCCTGGTGAGACATAGAGGTTGACTCCCGGGGAGTTTGAAACACCAAGACACAGTTTGACAAAATAAACCAAATCTGCTGACTCTGTGTGTGTAGATATGCATATCAGTCGAGCTGCAGCCACGGCAAATTACAAACTATTGATGTCAGATGGATTTGTTAATTAATCCAATTAAGCAGCGCTTTCAGGTCATTAGGGGAAAAGCAGTTGGGGGAAAGCCGACCATTAAGAGCCACCGCCCAATTATCTGCCCTAAAACAAACTGCTTTGAAATGTTTATCTCCTCAGTCATTAATGAATTCGCCAAAGTTCTCATGAACAAGAAGAGCACACAAGACGGGCCCGCCTGCGTTCCTCCACGCCGTTTCACTAAGCCAAAGTCGGCCTAATCCCGGATCTAAGGGTGTAAAAACCTGCTTGATTTGGATTAGGATCAGATTAATGTGAATTAGTGGAAGTTATAGATCAATAGCTTCATGGGCGCTGTCACGTTGTGCAGGTGTGAGCTTTTTTCAACTCGGGGGAAAAGAGACGACACTACAGACCCCAGGCTCATTCTACTGCCCTTGCGCAACATCTGTTAGAGCGTAAGAAATAAATCATGATTCGTTGGTCATTTAGAAAACAGATTTAAAAAACGCTTGAAGGAAAGAGGCCGGCTTTGAGGGGATAATTCTAAAGCCGGAGGAAAGGTAATCGTAAAGAAGACAGCAGACGGGGATCTCGGCTCATTAACTGGCCCTGAATCCTGCTGCGTCCTGTCATATCGACGTGACGTAGGAGGCAGAAGGCCTCCGCAATTTCTCAGCACTCAAGCCTCGTTTATGCTTCTGCGTTTTCAGAGAGATGCAAGGACACGCAGACGCAAGAGTCCCTTGCGTGTCCCTTGCGTGCCTTTTCACACCTCCTTGCGTGCGTCAATCTATTTTTCTAGAGTAGCGCCAAAAGCTACGCAAGCCTCCTGCAGCCCGCAAGGCTGCGATTGTTCTGCTGACTACGTCCTTTCTGGAGTCTCACATTTCCGTTTTCATAGCACAATACCACCATTATTAAAACAAAAGATTTTTACGAGAGAATTGAAGAGCTTTTGTCGGAATAAATGCGTAAATATGACCACTTATACAAGCCGTCATTGGCGGATTATAAGGACGCGCGGATGGCCTATGTGTCCGCGATGACGAGCAGCAGTGGCGATGCACGGGGCAATAAAGTCTCTGATAAATAAATAAACAAACCAACGACTTCCACACACAAAGACCTCTAGGTCGTCTTCGACAAAAAAACGTTACTCCACCTGTTGTTCTGCCGGCGAATTGCTTTGCAACACGCGGAGGCCTTTTTGAACCATGAATTGAAACCAGTGCGTTTACACGACTGCGCGTAAAGACGCAGAAGCCCGCGCCGGCCTTAACGAAACGTAAATTGGTCAAACCTCAATGGGTAGCTGCTGCTGCTGGGCCTGATTACCAGGACACCAACGGCTGCCACAGCTCATATATTTATCAGCACCAGCACACTCTTACATGGGGCTTTGCTTGTACATGAACACCCAGAGAGTTTGCAACTTCATGGGTGTACGTTTTCAAAGATGTACATCCAGGTTTGATATTTGCCTTGGAATGATTCACCGCCTGTTAATATATTTCATGAAAATATCTTGGAAGTAAAAGTCATTTAAAGTGTGAAGAGTAAGCACAGCTCTGTCGAATGGTACCTCTGAGGTGAGTATTGGGTCTGAGTGGGAAAAGGAAGAGAGATAACGACCATTTAGTGTGTGGCACATCACCTGATAACAGGGCAGAGTGAGACAGATGGAGGTATCAATTTGCAACCTTCAGACGGAGCAAGGCGGCAATAAGCATGTCAACACAAGTTTGAAGAGGACAAAGGTCATCTTTGTCTCTCACCCTCTATGCATACAAGTGGTGTAGAAATACTTTTACAATCAGGCCAGCAATGTAAAAATGATCTCGATATTATCATCAGAGATGGTACTGGGACACCATAAAGGTTTAGTTTCAGAGACATGATACTTATAATGAAGCTATTACCCCCACCAATTAGCAGCAACTATGAAATATTTTCCGGGTAAGTGGTGCGTAATCTCATTTTCCTGACAAGAGTGCCTAATCCACGACCAATCCTTTGAGTATCTGCTGTCCGGTCCGTCCCTATTAGCAGGCCCTATTCTCACGCCTCTCCCAAGAAAAACCTCCCCAGACGTCCACACAGCCGGGCGTAATTGGAAAGCCTGGTGTCTGACGGTGCGTCTCACAGCACGGGACCGTTACCGGCTCAGACCAGATGTTACCGGCTCAGACCAGGCTCAGGGGCCGAACTGAGGGCCATGGTGACGGTTCCAGCTCCAAGCCCCTCACCTCTGATCCTACTTCCTGTTTAGCTGCTACAGTGTCTCCTCAAACGGCCGTGGTGTTGCATCGCTACATCTCTGATTCTCTACGTGAAACAAAGACCAAGTTCAGGAAACCAATCAGGAAGCACAAATAACGTTTGAATAGAGACAAAGAAAAAATTCTGCAGAAAGGCGCTGACTAATATATCTGGACGAACAGAGCGACCAAACACAATTCAGGACTTTACGTTTGAAAAGTGGACCCACACATGTAATGTTGTGCAGAGAGACAGCATTTGCAGGGACACCTAGAAACGCACACGTTTGGAAAGATGTGGAAAGGTGTTTTGGAGCTATAGGACCAACGATAACAGAGAAGTATTATTTCAATAAATATAATAATTTGCTTTTTTCTGAAACTTTCCCATTTGTAGGTTTTTTTCTAAATCTTTTCTTTGTGTGAAATGACCCACTTGCTGCCATTCAGGGTGCACTTTTCCTAATGTCTTATAATGGGGTGGCAGGGAGTTGCTTCCTCATAACGCAGAAGCAACTGACCTCAAAATCCCCAGCCATAATGTCCTGGAGCTCCATAAAAGACATCCATGTGATGGGTAAGGAGGAATAATATTTAACATAACAAGGAACCATTCAAGCAGCATCAGAGGACAAAGACCACTGAAAGCAACGTGGCAGATATCCACACAAAGCCGAATAAATGGCATGAAGCTGTGATAAAACAAGACCAAGAGCCAAACGAAAAATAAGAGATGTGGCCAAATTTCATTTGAAAACCATGTAGAGAATGTTGCACTCAGCAATAACATTCATGCATGGGCAATATGGTGACACCCATGGAAACATGGTCTCCAAAGGGGCTGGAGCTGTCCGTATGACCGATGATAGCTGCTCCCTCCACTGATCCCACATGGCTTTAGCACTTTACCTGTGACTTTATTTATGTGTGCTCAGCAGTTAAAAGTAAGACAACCCCTTCACCCTCATTTTCTACATACTTTGGTCAAGGTGGAAAATGTCATTTTCAAATCATGAGACCGCCTCACTATGTGTATATAAGTACAATGTTCACAAGTACGTTTTTGACCTGGTGCATCCATTTTCACCGAGACAGCATTTACAACAACTGCAAACACGTTTTAGCATATTTAAAATTAAACTGTTCTGCATGTAATGTAGAACCGTTCAATTGTTAATTATTAATCATTTTCACCTTTTTTGCTATATTGAATTGATAACTGAAGCCTTTGGCTCACAGACGACTTGGTAATGATGATCACTGACTTACCTGAGCACACATGGACAAATCCTAGCAGAAATACAAATCCAATAGAAGTTGGAGACATCATTCAACGCCTCTCTTATGGGTTGTAATCCAAATTATTCAAAAGGCAATTGAAGAATCCACTCCTTCATGACAAACTGCAAAAGAACAAATCTAAGAATCCACAGTTGGAAAAACTAACACCCAGATTTTAGTTTGAGTCACAAAAAAAAAGAAAAAACCGTCCAGAAGCAGTTTGTCAAGAATTGGATTTCTCTTCTTGTTGCGAATGAGTTGAAGGCTTCAGGCGATGAAGTCAAATAAGAAAAAAATCCTAATAGTGGAGCAGCAATTGGAATTGTTTTAACTCGACATGCTAAAATATGTGAACAGAGAGGAAGGAGAGCTTCTCCTTTGAATTCATCCCGCCGCTGCAGTGCGCTCTCACCACTCAGCCGATCCCAATCAAACCCTTTAGTTCCTTTGTGCCAAAAACAGGACAAAATAATAAATCCACTGAGACTAAAAGTTCATTGAAAAGTGAGTGGAATGTGCTCGCGTGTTCGCCGTAGTGCACAGTCACATTATTTCAGTCCAGTCTTGAGTCTTGTCACTTGAGATCGGAAACTTTGCGAGTTAAGTCCCGTCCTCCCTCATCCACCGGATCCAGGCACGAGATCAGTGCAACTTTTCCATCACTTTTGCGCCGTTTCTTCTCCTCCCCGCTGCAAGTACCCGACTGATCCTCGCGCGCGCCCCCAGAAAGACCCCCAAAAAACCTCAGGCGAGAGGGGGGAAATACGGATTCATATTCCCGGTATTTCATTCAAGGGGAGCGCAGAGAGCCCTCGTCAATTGCTATGCGACTCTCTCCCCACCTCCACACACCCGACAGCGTCTCGCACAGCGCGAGATTTAACCTCTTCCCGCCCGGATCGTACCGAGCGACGCACGCGGACCCGCGAGGCTGCTGAACGCGCTCTAACCAAACATCCAATAATAAGAAAAAACCTTAACAAAGCAGTGGGACCCGCTTTTGTATTCTTTCTGCGGTTACAGGCACAGACTCCTACGAGGATATTCCTACAGGGAATTAGGACTGATGTTTTTTATAGTTATTTTTGAGTTATTATATAATGGCTCTACCATACATTATGGGTTTGTTACGTCTCTTGTGGTTTCATAGACCATTAGCATTCCAGTATTACAATCTGCAATAGCTATAAATGCTGTGTTTATCCTTCTGAAATGTAGTGCAGAATAGGAAAGAGGAATTAATCATACTGCCGGAGGATGATTTGTTGTGTATAACAAGTGTAGCATTTTTATTCAAACACTTCTGATCTATGTTGCAATTGTTAGACTGAGGACTCAATGTTTCCAAACAGCAGCCAACTTCAAATATCATTTAAGAATGAATCATGACCTAATATAACTCCAGAGCCTAAACGTACAGTTACCATGACTATACGGGGTTAATTAAACTAAATTAATTCTCTGGTGATATATGTTAACAATTTAATATTTTCCTCAAAGGGACATAAACCTGGGACTCACTAACATGAAAATGCCTCATCTTTTCCATTTAAATCAAGACTTGAATAAGGCAGTTTCTCTGGGATAGTGGGTTTAGTCATAATTGACTTCAGACACAGACTGCTCATTTCGGATTGCGTCAGAACAATTGCTGTGCAAGTTTTCTGGCATTAAAAGATCTAAAATGTGGGGAAAATTTGAATGAATAAAAATAGAACAACTAAAGGACTTTAACATTAGTTACCAAACATCGCCCTCTAGTGGAAAACGACAGAACTAAACCAAGAAGCCTCGATATCAGCAGCAAAGGGACGATTTTGTAGGCCTATGACAGCCTGGTTACACTATAGTCATCAAAACCAGAGCTTTACAAAGTGTGTAATTTTCAAATACTTTTATTGACCCACATTTAATGACAACCCTGTCCCAGTAATAAATGGTAAAAACAGCCATCTTTTTTTTGAAAGCCGGACCAAGACAATACTCCATTTAGCACGTTGTACAGCAAATGAACACATTGAAGTTGTGAGGTCTAACTCCCAACAAATACAAGAAAGCAGTCATTACATCCCAGGAACAAGTTATTATCATGCAAATGAAAACATGATCATTATGGATTGCATGAATTGTTGCTATTAAAAAAGCATGCTGTTTATCAACAGTGAGGGTAGATTTGGTGCCCTGCTGTTTGCAGTTTGTATCCATTTAACCACTTGAATTTTAAAACCCTTCGGATCCCCTACAGCGACCCTTGCATGTCTCTATGCACTAGTTTGAGACCCCTGCTGAAGACTGCATGATGATGAATGCTGCCCAACTGCATGATTCAGACAGAAGTATAGTACCATACGTCCATTACATTACAGCTTTACACACTTGATTCCCACTAGTCCATCATGTACCCTGTGTTGCTGAAAGCCTTTCCGGCTCTGGATTTGTAAAGTGGCTGAATACTACCAGTTGAAGAATAACATTTTCTTGAGCCTGCAGCAGGGAGCTGCAACATAGAAGCAATTATCAACAGAGTCCTGAACAGAACAGGAGGGTGTGTGTGAGCGCTGATTGCTGCAAGAGGGTGTGAGCATTTTGAGCCTTTGATGTAGGACAGCAAGTTAAAAAGATATAACTGTGTCCCACAAAAGAGACATTGTTATCAAAGAATCACTAAGAAAGCTTTTCTTCTCACGTCTGCAGGAAATAGAATTATAGGGAATTTGCAGCCTTTTTAAAAAAGGGACTGATGTCAGTACATTGTTATTTTACTGGTATATTTGTGTTCGATTTAAAATTTTCAAATAACCTCCTGCCTAAAGAGTGTTAATGTACATATATCTCCAGCAACACATTTTAATGTTAAACACTTATGTGAAATCTTCCGTTTTAATTTTCTTAAAAGTTGTGACAGCGGAGCTCTGATACCTCTCTCCTTTCCTCCTTTTGCAACCTTGATCAGATCAGCAGGGGCAGGAAAAAATGCATAAAATGCATATTGTCAGTGTTGTGACGGCAGTGGAGGCGGCAGAGAGCTTTTAAACACCTCGGCCAAATCGTTTTCACACAAAACAACTTCAAATAATATAAAAGAAGGTTTAGACTCCCCCATCCCAAACTGCAAAGCGCTCCAAGGCTTTAATGCTTTGACAGCCAGCAAAGAGAACCGAAACAACTTTGGATCATGTCAAAAATGTATTGAGTCATTCGTTTTTGCATGACAGTTATGTAATATAGCACTTTTATGTACTTACTGTGAAAGGCCTGCTTGCATTTGTGTGGTTTGTTGTGGGAGTGCCTCAACTTCTGGTGGTTTTCTTGAAGTCCAAAATTAACCGGCCTTTTGCACCACTGAGACCTTGGTAACTCTGCGAGGCGGTGGGCCCTGCGTGGACCATTATGGTCTTTGGGAACTCCCAGCATGACCAACATGGCAAACAGCGCCACCAGAAAACCGACAATCTGCATGGTGATGTGTGTGGGCAACACAGAGCCGGAAGATGTGAGACCATAAAACCATCAGAAAATACACGGTTCTTCGTATCTTCAGGGGCTGCAACCAGGGGCTGGTGTTCTTTGCAAATTGACAAATGATTTAAATCCAATCCAACGATCCTCTTGAAAACAGCCAAAAACTGCAACAAACCGCAAACATTGCTCAACCCACCAATCGTCCCTCATGCTGCTCCCCTTGAGATCTGCCGAATACATAAACTCCTGCTGTCTTGGCGGGTTTCCTAAATCCGGTCATAATGCCCCCCCCCCCCCCCTCAAAAAAAAAAGGGGTCTTAAGGAGGGCAAGTCTGTATACAATGCGCATGCTGAAGTTCACCCCCCCCCCCCCCCTCTCCATCTCACCATCACCACCGCTTTATGGGGAGACAGCCTCTCATCTTCCCAGCCTTTAAATATTCCAAAGGAGTTTGTGGACGGGCCGGCTTCTCCAGTGATGTTTCTATGCACGCAGCCGAACGGGGGGATCCTGTAGGCCGCCTGCTGAGTCCTTTTTCAGATTTGTTGGACTCCTCACAAAACCTCAGACTAGAGGTGACGGGGTGACGAACAGGCGGGGTGAGGCAAAGGAGCCCACTTTCCCATTTTCCCCTCACTAAGACTATTAAATGGCTTTCAATTCCCATCTCACCAGCGCAGCAAACAAGGAGGCATTAAACGAAACCCATTCTCCTTCCAAAAGATGCTCCCCGTTGAGAGGCAAACAAAATACTCCTTCCCAGTAAGCAGACAAGTAAGACACTTTTCCATCCTTTGAAAAATATACTTTTTTAGTAGCTTGACATCATGAAGTTTTACCGACTGAATATGTTGGGAAATAAAAAGAAAGTTGTCGTGTTGCAGCTAGGGTAACCTTGGACAGACTGTTGTCGGGTACAGTACGTTTCAGATACCTTCACAGGCACTCAAGTTGGATGGTTTATACTTTGTATGCCTCACATTCACCGAAGCCTTTTCTCCTGCGTGTCCTGTCCTCGAGGAGTCAATCTTTTCATTTGTCATTGTGCAACTTTTGTTTGTGTGCGATAGCAATTCCAATGTGCAGTCTATGTGAGTTGGGAATAGGCAGCACGTCTCCAAGGTGTTTTAAAAAAGAAGAACCCAAATAGCATGAAGGTAAAGGGCCATGTTTCAGAGCTCCTTTAGCATTCTGCAGAAGGAGCAGTGAATACCTGCAGGGTAACTTTGTCCTGCATCCCTATTTCAGTTGTGATTCATTTTACAGTTTGACAAGTGACCCATGACAACTCAGAAGCAATATGTATGACGGCTGAGTAAACCGGGCAGGAGCGCCAGGTTCTCTGACAAAAAGGGCGAGAGACTCCCGGGGCTGTATTATGATTATACACAGACTTGAAATAAAAACACCGGTCGACCAATGATATCACTTCTTTTTTAAATCTCCGTCCTTATCTCCTCCAACCTCTCGATGGAGGACCAAAGGCTTGAAAAAGTTTAATTTATTCAACTGAGGAGACATAAAACTCCCTGTAAGACGTTGCATGATTGATAAGCATGGTCGCTGGAGTCCGCTGGGGGGAATCATGAATGACGACTGTGAAGCGAGGAGGACGCGAGGGAGGAGAGAGAGAGGACGGATGACCTGTGGTCCCGAGGAAGTTATTGGTGTCACCGCTAAAAGAGGCGACAAATCATTTCTGATTGGTTTCTGAGGGAGTGGTGAAGTTTCAGGAGCGAAACCCCCCCTCCCACAGCTAACTGCAAAAGATCCTGCCATTATAAGGTTTGACTTGAAATGACTTCATGAAGTTTTTCCAACTGTAGAGCAGCCAAACATTTTGATTTACGTTCATTTTTTAAAAACTAACATGGCCTGCGATCAAACATAAAGACTAGCACCAGTAATAATAGTTAAATTATTATGGGCTGGAACGTAATCCACACAACATCAGTATTTTGTCTTAAATAGGGCCAACAGACTGAGTGAAAATCAAATAACAGCTGGTCATTCAGGCTTAAACCAACCGCATTCAGACCTTGACACATATCAGCACGGTGACAGAATGAAGCACTAACTCCCTCCTCATCTTTTGGGAATATTCACAAGACAAACATTAGTGACTGTCGGGTCATTTCCCCCCCCCTCCAGTTAACTGTAGATAATACTGTGGCCCCTCAGCTCCACACAAGAGCTCAAGAATGTATAATCCTTGGCTCCATCCCAGAAAAAATACAGTCGACCACTGAGGAGAATCTCAGGACGGACCAGACAGGCCTTTAAAATCCAGAATAGATAGAAAATAATCGAGTCACCACTACGGCATATTGAGAGTCTGCCAGAGAGGAGAGGACGGGAGGGACAGGCCATTCACAAAGCAAGTGAGAT